GCCTGCGCTGCTATCGCGCGGCGGCGGATGTTCGCGCCCATCGGGCCGCCAGAGCTGATCGATTGACCGACGTATTTGAAACTGCCTCTGCGAGGACAAATCTCGACGTCCACGCCCTGGAAAAATGCCGCTCGCGGGCTTGCCATGCCCGCGCGTCGCGCAGCGCTGCTCGCGAATGCGCGCGCTGATGGGCGCAGTTCACCCCCGCGCTGCCCCGACTCCCTCGCGACGTCGCCAGCATCGCGCGGAGCCGCGGGAGAGCGAGGAAGGGGGGGAAGAGGAAGAAAATGAGAAACACCCCCTGGACAATCCTCGTTAACCGAGGATGGTTGCAAAATCCAGTTGCGGGGGCCGCGCGCGGCTTCGCAAACCACCCACGCGCGGAAGGTATGATTGTCAATGCTCGTGGACGCGCTTCTATGCGCAGCGGCTCCTATCCATGCTTTTCGACGTCCTCGGCGCGAGGTTTGCGCTGCAACAGAACAAGAACCGCTGCGCAACAGTGGCAGGCGCAATCGCAACGCAGAGGCCAGAGGGCGCAACGGCGGCGGTGGCGATGGGACAAGGAAGAAAATACCCCCATCCTGCCCACCGCCTCAATTAGTGCGTCGCAGACGAAACAGGCAGATGGGGCTGCGCCGATTTGAACCCAGGCGGCGGCGGGCCAAGCAAGCCGCACACGCATCGCCCCCCCCCCCCCCCCCCCCCGGATCGCCCCTGCAAACTCGACGATGGGGGGGGCGGGGGCGAAGCTTGCCTGCCAGCACCTCGGCGCACAAGTCAAGGAAGCGCTGCGCGGCGCGAAAGGATCAGCGGCAGGCAACCCCAGCCGCTGAAGCATTGCATATCAAAGTGAGATCGGCAGCTGCAAATTTCAACCTCCTACACAACGCATCAAAAATGCGCGTGGAATCAAGGTCGCGCTTCCGCAAATCCAACACCTCGGCACCAGAATGCGTCGGGCGGAGGCGATCTGAATTACGCAGGTCGAGCAGGACGGACCAGAGTCGGCCCTGCAAGCCCAAAGGACGACCGATGAGGGCTGGCCCCGATTCGGCGCGACTGAGATTGAGTGCGGTTGAATTCTGCGACAAGGGGGCGCGAGGGCGGAAACGCGCCAGCAGTCAGCGGTCGCGGGTCCGCAAAAGCTCGGCATCGGGCCAGCAAGAGCACTCCCTCTCTTGATGCGCAGCGCGGCTGCATACGCGTAACCCGACAGACCTCCGGGGCCCATTAAGGCGCGTGAGCAGCCGCGGCGACCAGTGTTCGGCGATGGGAGGGTTGCAGCCTCGACGCGGAGCATGAGGCTTTGGCTGCACCTCATGCTTGTCGCTCTGATAACCGGCCAAAACTTGAAGATGTAGGTTCGGGCAAGCAGTGCGCGGGGCGCGACCGCTCGCTGTTATATCTCGGGCGCCACACCACTGAGCGCTGCGATCATCGCCCGAAAGATCTGCGCGCCGAGCCAGCACTAATTGCCGGGGGACCTCGGACACAGAGCCCACCGCACCGCAATCGCGGAGGCGCTTGAAATGAGCAGGGTTCAATGGCCCCTTAATGAGCTAAATGCAAGGCAACATTCGCCCAAGCTGCGGGCGGCAGCAAGTGCCTCGGCAGCGCGGCTGGTCCAAACCTGAAGGCGATGAGTTTCGCGAAGGCTGCCGACGCCGCGCGCAACTTCCCCCATGCTGCCCGGCGCTCGCGCACCCGCGATGCAGCAGGCGAGCCCTCGAAAGCCGCCGCCCTTAGCCTCGTCGTCTTCTTCGCCGGTGGGCCCCCCGTGCCCGGCGCCGCCGCGCTGGCCCACGGTCTCGCCGGGGGCCCTGACTCGGCGGGCGATCTCACTCGGCGATTGCAACGGCGCGCGGGCAAAGGGCCAAGGCGCTCACGCGCCTCACCTGCACGATGGCAGGCCCCCGAGCACGCTGAAGAGAAATCACGCACACCAGAATCCAGAACTCAGCAAGAGTAGGATGCGCGAGAGCTCGCCGAAGACTGACATCCATGTCAACGATAATTGCGCAAGCCTTTGAATCTGGAGAAACTCCGACAAGAACAGAGTGAACAACGAAGCGAGGCTGCTTGATGCAATCGTCTCCGCAACCGCGCGCTCGTTCTCATTCTTGGTATATCGCACAACACAGTTCGCGCACGTGCGCTTGTCGAATTTGCACTTACCGCACATCTGCCAGGCATATTTAAAGGGGCCCTGTCTCTCCCTTTTGTTTTATATGTTCTACGTGTTCGTTGTCCCCCTCATTGTACATATGTTCCCATGTTTTCATGGGAATTGCAAATGAGTTGTGTCCGTTTGTTGTTCCCCTCCTGCAGATTGGTCGTGGTCGCGCAGAATTTCAACGCATACTGACATCGCCAACATGTGTAACAATGAGAAGAAGGCCCCTGGCGGCCGCAAACTCGGGGTCGCATGACATGGACTCGAGATCGCTGATATCCGTGGTCAAATCAAAGAAAAACCATAAGGACCACCGTCGGATCCACGGCGCAAGCACCAGGCTCGAGGCATTTCATGCAGCGCCGTGAATCATCACAACCCTCGAAGCCAGGTAACGCACGCAGTAGTGAAGGACTGCCTGGAGGCAATGCCGAACGCACGGCGCATTCCCACTCGCCCGCGGCGCCGGCCAGGTTTCTACATGCAAGGTCCTGGAGGAAACCCCACTTGCATCGAGACTGGCGGCGCGCCGCTTGATGACGCCACGAAGTGCAAGGCCAAGTCGCGCGAGTTCCTTCCTCGCCCCTAGTCTTCAGGAACGCCAACTTGCCCCTTGCGCCCCCCCCCCCCCCCCCCCCAAGAGCGCCCGTCGGACGACGCGCCGTGCTTCGCGCCCGTCGGACGACGCGCCGTGCTTCGCGAACTGGCTTCTTCATAAGTCGCTTCCATCTGCGTTTATGTTCCTCGTGTCCTAGAAATAACCATTGCGCCTGTTGTTCTTTCGTGGGATACGCATGCATATCGGGGTAGTCAAAGCCAGTAGCCCCGTCGTCCGAAGACGCGTCGGCGCCAGCACCAGAGTCGAAGTCGGACTCAGCAGGTTGCCCCGCTGAGCCCATAAGGGCTGCGGCTTGCGCAGGGGCCACCGCGTCGGGCGGCCCCCGGAATCTGGCCCAGGAGTCTTGCGACCCCGATGCCGAACCACCATCCTGAGCCAGTAGTGGTGGTCTCTGTTGGTTGCGGATCGCCATTCCAAACGTTATTAGCAGGTTGCGCTGCGCTTGCCTCAGCGTGGAAGGCCTCGGCTTGGTGACCGTGACTGGAAACGCCACAAATATTGCCTGGAGTTCTCTCAGCAATGTGAGCACATGGCCTCGCGCGTTCAAGTAGAGAATCAAACTGTTACTGGTCCCTCGGCACGTGGTGGTTTAGTGGCTGCAGTAGTTGCTGTGCGCGCGACGCCCCCACTCCAAGGGCCCCGAATAGAATATTTGTTACAATTTGGAAGCTGGAGATGTTAAAGCCTGCCGTTTCAGCTTCGTAGCGGGCTATCTCGAAGCGTGCCAAAATCTGGTCGATCCGATCTCCCGCATGGACACGGAAGTCAATGAGAGCTGTGCCAGAGTTGAGTTGGCGTTCCTTTTCTAGGTTCTCGAACTTCGTACCTAAGAGGAACATGGTGTAGGTGACGCCATCGGTATGGTGGCCACCTATGTAAACGCCGAAATTGATAACTGATGGGGGGAACTCTCATGGCTATGGTCCGCGCGAGGCCCCCGAAGCCTCGCTGCAGGGCTGCAGCTTGTCGGGAGGGCGTCATGTTGCCTGTGGTCACGTTGATCCACGCAAGCACCTCGCGGACGAATTCGCGGAAAGGTACTTGACCGGACGGGTCCCAATGGGGGCCGGTCGTTCTTGTATCGTCTCCGCCACGCACATTTCCTACCGCGCACCCGATAGCGACCCATGTAAGCCCAAAGATAGTAATACTTAATCCAAATGGCCTCGCAGGTCGTAGTCGGATGTAAGTGGTTGGGGTTTGCGGTATGTGGTCGTAAGCTTGCGTGGGGTGGAGGCGGCACAATGTCGTATCGCATGTTTCCATGCATTATGTCTTCGAAACGCGTCCAATTGGAGAAGGTGGGTGGACTTCAGGAGTGTAGTAGCGCAGGGATGTAGGACGTGAGTAAAGAGGCCTCTGCGTAGGCAGAGGTGTCACTGCAAGTATCCATGCTATGTTGCATAGTTATATACATTCCTCCGCGCAAACCCACTGCACCCTGATGTTCCACCACGTCAGTAGTCAACCAGACTGTGCCGTGGATGGTGAAGAGTAGAGCAAGAGCTGACCACCATAGGCCAGCTCCGCTACCAAGTTTGAGAAAGGCTGGGCGGCCCAATCAGCAGTTTCGCCTCAGGCGGAGCCCAACTCCCGCTCTGCTGTACCGTAGTAGCGATAGTCCCAGTAGTAGGGAGCGAGCCATCTCAAGCAGTTTTGGTATCGATGTCAAATGGTACACCTCGCGATGAAGAATAGTCAGATCTGGGCGGCCGGCCGCTTTGAGCCAAGCAGCCGCGGATGCACGCTCGTTCCCACACACATGCAACACCCAGCTCACGTTAGAGTCCCAGACGTTCCGAGACGGCTCAGGAAGTCCCAAGAATTGCAAAAAAAGGCCCCGAGAAGACGTCCAAGACGCCCTGAAGAGGCCCCGAAGAAGCTTTCAACAGATCACCCAGAGGCCCCAAGAGATCCCAAGAAGGGGCCTATGGTCCACGACCCAGGCACGGTGGAGGGATTCCGCCTTGCCAGACTTCGTATTCTCGGCCCTTCAGGCAAAATCCCGGTGAGCTCTGGCCTCATGCGCTGGCCACCCCGAGCTGGGGCAAACTGCCTTTTGCTTAAACCTCACCTGCACAGACTGAGGACTGAGAGCCACGAGTCTGTTGCCTTTCCACGGAGGGAAGGCGTGGCGGTGACTTGCCGGGGGGCGAATTCGATTCTTTGCCAGGCTCAATCATGGCCCACAGCAGCGGGCGGAGCCTCCATGGCCGGGGCGGTCGCGTACTGGACGCCCGGTGATGTCACGTAGGTCACAGGCGCGGCCGCCTGGACAGTATGCGGCGCCACCGAGCGCTGTGCCTCTTCTTCCTCCTCCTCCTCCTCCTCCTCCTCCTCCTCCTCCTCCTCCTCCTCCTCATCATCATCATCATCATCATCATCATCATCATCATCATCATCATCATCATCATCATCATCATCATCATCATCATAATCATCATCATCATCATCATCATCATCATCATCATCATCATCATCATCATCATCATCATCATCATCATCATCATCATCATCATCGTCATCGTCATCATCATCATCAGCATCAGCATCAGCATCAGCATCAGCATCAGCATCATCATCATCATAATAATCGTCATCGTCATCATCATCATCATCATCATCATCATCATCAACATCATCATCATCAGTATCATCATCATCATCATCAGCAGCAGCAGCATCATCATCAACATCATCATCATCAGCAGCATCAGCATCAGCATCAGCAGCATCATCATCATCATCATCATCATCGTCACCATCATCAGCATCATCATTCTCAGCAGCAGCATTAGCATACGCATCATCATCGCCATCGCCATCGTCATCAATGTCAATAGCATCACCATCATCACCACCATGATCATCAGCATCATCAGCAGCATCAGCACCAGCATCAGCACCAGCATCAGCATCATCAGCATCATCACCATCATCATCAGCAGCAGCATCATCATGAGGAGGAAGAGGATGAGGACAAGGAGGAGGGGAGGACGACAGCAACGGCGGTAGCAGCCAGGGCGAAGTGAACCAGGGGTAAAAGTGGAGGGCCCCCGAAGGTGGTCCGGCTGGCCAAACTCCAGAAGTACTCCAGGGAGGTTTCAAAACCCCGCGCCACCCCTGGCAGTACCTCCCTGCTGGGGAGGGACGTTCCGCGCCCGAGGGGGTTGAGACCTTCGGGTGAAGGAGACGGATCCTGGAGGAAGCGGGTCGTGGAAAAACCAGGGGGGCTTATCTCTGGGACCAGCTCTTCAACCTCAGTCGTTTTTGGACGCTCCTGGGACCCGGCGAGGGCCCCCAGGAGCCCACAACGGCGAAGCCCGTTCCAGACGGCTCTGGGGGCCTGTTGATGAGGCCAGCCGAAACCACCTCAGGGGAATGTCTATGCGCAACCCCGAGCCTCGCCACGGAGAGAGAGGCAACGGGTCGGTGGACGGGAGGCGGACACAGGGGGGGGCCCAAACAAACAAGGCAAGAGCAGAAGGGCATGGAAGGCATACAAACAAGCAAAGACCATGCATCCAGAAGGTCCCGTCGGCAGACTCGAGGTGCAGCCATTGGAAGCCGAGTGGAAATATGATGGCATATGTCGGGAATCTGGCTTAACGAATACAGTGGAAGCCAGTCCACACGCAACCTCCAACAAGAAACCCAACCCTGACGTCCATGGATTTTTGGTGCGGGAACGTGCCTCTCCATCGCAGAACTTTCGAAACCCAAGAAACCCAGGGCACCCTGGAGGCAAGCAGGGTGTGTTTTGGCATGGGTCTCCACTGTAGGAGGAGGAGGAGGAAGAGGAGGAGGAGGAGGAGGAGGAGGAGCAGCAGCAGTAGCAGCAGCAGCAGCAAAAAGGAGGAAGAGGGGAGATGATTTGGAATCAAAACCCGCTGTGTGCTCCGAGGTGAATCAGATGCCCACTGTTGTTGGGGCCGACCACGACAACGACGAACTGTCCAATGTGTGTGCGTATCGCTGTGATGAGTTGCAATTTCCGTCAACGGCTGATTCTCACATGTCGCAACTGTGGCCGTAGAAAGCACATTGCCTGTCAGAAAGAATGTATCCTGCGCTGTACTCGGAACCTCCACGTTGCTGAGTGCGGGATGCCAAGAAACAAGCGCACACATTTGTTGTGAAAATAATATCGTTTTTGTCTGTTTTGAGCAGCCACAAAGAATCCGACAAGCAGTTCGGCTGACCACGCAATTTACAGAGATGTAAGATGCCCCGTTTAGAATGTGAAACCACCGGCGTTGCATGTGTTGCAAATGCCGAAAGGTTTGTCCAATGTTCGAAATCGTTAATTTCCAACTTTGCCGTCGCACGATACAAAGCCCCCAAATAGATGGCGCCCTTCGCGGTCTTGATCGGTTCGCCGGTGGGCCTCTTGCATTCCCCAAGAAATATACGCTTATTTGCTCGATTTACCCGAATCTAATTATCAAAATGAGGGGGCTGAACCGAACGGTCATTCACTGTCCCTGGGTGCGTGGCTGGGGTGGAATTCTGCGATGCGGGTTATTATTATTATTATTATTATTAGTAGTAGTAGTAGTAGTAGTATTAGTAGTAGTAGTATTATTATTAATATTATTATTACTACTACTACTATTAGTATTATTATTATCACTACTATTATCACTATGATTATTATTAGTATTATCATTAGTATTATTCTTCGTAGTATTATCATTAATATTAG